ACTGGAATGGGCAGTGATGTGGAAATGTGTTTTTCTCACTCAAAAGGTTTGTCTCTTGCTTCATTGACATATTCTGGAATAAAGCAAAACAAACCACAAACGAAACAAACCTCTGTGTTTGAGGAAACAAACAGAGGTGGCAGCTGAACCAGCCAAGTGCAGTTCCAGCAACAAAACCAACGAGCAGTGTTGGTGATGCCGATCTTACCAAGAATTACAAGACTTTCAGCAATGTCGGGACCTCAGTGGGACACATTCCAGCTGAAAACCAGACTCCGATCTCCCAGGCCTTTGGATTTTAGAGTGGGTGAGAGATGAGACATGACACAGCGCATGTCAGTGCCACCCTCCAGGTCTCCAGACCTCTCCTGAGTTGCCAGCAGCGCAGTCCCCTCCTGCTCTCCGTTGCCCTCTCCTCACGGCGTCTCCATTCTCGAAGACACTAGCACTCATGTCTTCCTTTGTGGTGGCCCACCCAGGAACAGCACCTTCCCCATAAACATCCTGAGGGATTTTAAGCCATCAGTGAGGCAGCTTTACACCAGATTTCTATGAGATGAATGTCCCTACAAGTCCCATTTACTCTTGTCCACTTCTTGGCAGGAGAATATTAAAAATGAAGATTAATTATGGACAGTTCAAGGGTCGGTGCAGATGCCACAGATGAGGATTTTGCACCTGATAAAGTTGAGAATTTTTTTTCTCCTAGAAAAGAAAGAATGGTTTCTCATTTTGTCGTATAAAATATAAGGTCCACTCTTCCTCTCCTTACCGGACACCAGCCTCTGTGCAAATAATGGCATCGTGAGAGTTAACGCCTTTCTTGTAAAGAAAAACCATCAACAAGGAGTAGATCTTGAATCTGAGTCAGCCACCAAAAATGCAAAAAATGGACAAAGTCCACAGCAGAAGTAAAGTTGCTATTAGCTTTGTCAGCTTAATAATTACACAATTAGCCAATAATTACTCTACTGGCAGGCTTATCTCCTACACAATTAGCACTGGATTATTTAGTAGTAGGAATAATCCTAAACTGAGTCTAAATTTGGGTTACCAGTCAGATGTGTTCATAGTAACGTGTTTGGGAGGTAGAGAACCTCACCAGTGCACCTTCAGATGTACCACAGTAAGAGACAAAATGAGAATGACCCTCTGTGGATGGGTGTATTTCCCCATTTCTCTCTCTTTCTACATCTCCCCGTTCTTCAAAATACAGGCATTTAGTCTTGATGAGGAGAGAGCCACAATGCTTTGCGCTTTAATGGTACCAAAGTGAAGCCAATTAACGGGGCAGCTCTAATAGCTCAGGATGTGACTAATTCCCCCTGGCCTGTGGCATTGCATCCTGCACTAGGCGAATGCAAGGACACCTCCTCCTCCTCTGTGGAGCTGCAATGACACGTGTGGGAATGAAACGGCATTTATCGTCAGCACACCTCCATGGTGACTCCTCATGGGGGTAATAATAGCCTTGCTAAGGGCTTTTCATGCTGAAAGATGTCAAAACACATGCAGACATAGGTTTTGGTCATGGTTTTGAGACTGTCGGGAGCAGCAGTCTATGCTTTCTTGTTAATCCTCTTGTATGAGGGAATATCTCCCTTTCTAAACTTCAAAGTTACTCAAAACCCACAGGAGAGAGAGAGAGACCCAAAGCAGGTATTTTATTTGGCTGTTGTCAGCCCCCCAAAACCATTGGCAAATCAAATCTTTGTTGTCTTACAGCCATACAGCAATTTTAACAGAGCTCATACCAAAGCAAGAGCATCCAGCAGAAGGCTGCATAAAATGAGGGCAAAGTTTGCCAGACTTTTACAAAACGTAAGCTTTTGACAATCATCCCAGGGAAATAATTTTTTTAAGACAGCTCAGCATCACCAGACTGCAGATTCCGACTGGAGAGAGCGCTGCTTGTGCAAGGATTAGCGTAGGATGTGCAGTTCGGACACAAACGTCAGTTTTCCATCTGGGAGCAAACTGTCCCTTAGGGAAGCCTTGCCAGGTGAGGGAGGTCTCTGCACGCCCGCCACTGTCACGCAGGCAGCCGGTGGCTCTGCCCTCGCTGTCCATCCCTCCATCCAAAGGCTGAAGGAAGCGGGACACAGCTCATAAACCTGCTGAAAAGATGAGCAGCAGGAACAGACTCTCTTGGTTTTATTTGTTGCAGAGGAAAGAGTTCTAGTAGTTCTCTGGGACTGCGTTGGGATATACACGCAAACTGCAGTAATTAATTGCATTGAATTTTTCCAATGGAAAAAGAAGGACATTTGAATGAGAACATGTTTCATTAAATTACTCACCTGAACAATGTTGTCTTTGGGTTTGTGGTTGGTTTGGTTTTTTAACAAGAGACGTGTTATTTATAGAAACTCTCCAGACAGTTACTTTATGGAAATGCCATGTGCAGTGGTATGAATTCCACATTTCCAGACAGTAAAAAACCCAACTTAGCAGTAATATCAGGTTTAGCTGTTATTTACTCACGACATGAAAGACTCGGATGCCTGCCTGCACTGTGCCAGCTCCATTCAGATCTCCACTTACGCTGCCTTATTAGCGCAAACCAAACAAAGGCTCAGATGGCAGAGCCAGTGGGAGAAAATCTGTTAAACACTTTTCTTGTAGGTGAATTGGAGAAGATATCTGAGTTTTGGGTGCGATTCAGTTTCCTCCCCTAAGTGCATCCTTCTGCAGAGCCATTCCTGCAGACGATGAGCCATCACTTTTTCTAGGAGGGGGGATCCACTTGCAGCACCAGCATGGGAAATGCTGATGTGTTTTGCACCATCTCAAACCACGTGAGGTCTCTGACCCTTGTCTGATGTGCTTCTGCCCTCTCCCTTTCCCACAATTATCTTGGAAAGAAACAAGATTCATGTTACTCTTTCCTCACCTTCACAGTTTCTTTTTTAGATGCAAATACATTTTCACATCACAGGTCAATATTTTTGTACCTATCAAAGCATCTTGATTTTCAAATTTAAATAATCTTTTGCTCAGGTTTGCAACCGTAGCAACTGCCAGTCTTTGGTGGAAATGCCAAGCCGTAGAAATGTAAGTAGCACTGTTTTGCATAGGAAGGATGAACCTCATTTTCCTTTTGCTGTATTTCGAGGGTGAATCCTCTGCAACCACAAAGGCCGTGCCAGCACTGAATGGACACGAATGAGGAAACTGATTATTCATTCTGAGGAAGAGAAAAATGCAGCTCTGGAGAATGTTCTCAGCCCTTGGTTTGAAGTTGGCCCCACACTCCCCCTTGGTTTCCCCCACTCCTGCCCCAGATCCAGTTCTGCAATGCTGGGGCTGGCTCCCGCC